GAGAGGTTGGTGGGTTTGAACCGCCAACCCTGTCGTTAGAAGTCCCATGCTTACCAGGTAGCACCACCAAGGGTCTTTACCTTTTGAGCATTAGATGTTTTTTACAAACTAACTTCATTGGCATGTACTTCACATATAACTCAATTTGATCATTCCTGCTAAGATTTGCACAATCATCACCACAACCAATTTCAGAATATAAGTCCTCTCTTTGTAATCGGAAGAAATAAAATATTTCAAAAACCATGTGTGCTTGCTAGTGAGGGCAGGGAAAGGAGAAAGTACCAAGGTAAGTCAGAAAGTATTGCCACTGGGTTTCCAGTTCATACATGCATGGATTTATTCTCTTATTTAAACATATCTCTTTGATCTGTGGATGACAAGGACAAGTTCCCTTAAGAACACATATCTTAGTCGCGTTAGGGTGCCTTCCCTGTAAAAACAAAAACTGACTCAAACAAAAAGTGGCTTCTGGAAGAATCCTGGGGGCCAGTTATATTTAAGACAGACAAGTCAGCTCAGAATGTTATGGCAACTGTTTTTTAGGGGTCCCCCAAATTAATCTCGACAGATTTTTTTCAAAGGACCCAGGTCGATCACAGGGGCTTATTATAGAAAAATCTTTTGTGAAAATGAAAAACTTACGGTCGCGGGGAGGAGATGAGCCAGTCAGCTTGCAGTGTAACAACGAGGAAGCATACACGTTTCCTCTAGTGCCTAAATCAGGGGTCCTCAAACTACGGCCCATGGGGCCACATGCGGCCCCGCTAAGGACATTTATCCAGCCCGCCCAGTGTTTTTTCTGCGTCTTGTTTTTTTACTTCAAAATAAGATATGTTCTGTATGCATGGGAATTTATTCATAGTTTTTTTTTTTAAACTATAGTCCGGCCCTCCAATGGTCTGAGGGACAGTGAACTGGCACCCTGTTTAAAAAGTTTGAGGACCCCTGGCCTAAATGCTTCCCCCCCCCCCCACTATCATGATCCCAATTCTACCTTACAAATCTGGCTAGACCAGAGGATGTACACTGGTACAGATAGGAACTGGAAACACAGGGAATCCAGGACAGATGACCCCTTTAGGACCAGTGGTGAGAGTGGCAATACCGAGAGGGTGGAGGGAAGGTGGGTTGGAAAAGGGAACCAATTACAGGGATCTACATATAACCTCCTCCCTGGGGGGGCAGACAACAGAAAAGTGGGTGAAGGGAGACGTCATACAGTGTAAGACACTGACAAAATAATAATTTATAAATTAGCAAGGGTTCATGAAGGAGGGGGGAGAGGAGAGGGAGGGGAAAAAAAGAGGAGCTGATACCAAGAGTTCAAATGGAAGGCAAATGTTTTGAGAATGATGAGGGCAACAGATGTACAAATGTGCTTGACACACAATGGATTGTGATAAGAGTTGTATGAGCTCCCAATAAAATGATTTTTAAAAAAGAAAAGAAATACTGGAATAATAAAAAAAATTTAAAAAGAAAGAAAATGGAAAACTCACACATTGGTGAGGAAAAGGACCAGGAATTTGCGATCAAAACAGTTTTCCCTTTTCCCATGCTCATTGGTAGAGGTAGCACGGTTGTGGGGCAAGAGTGTTACTGGGAAACCTCCCCCACTCACCCCACAGGCTTTGTCTTGCCCTTTCAGACTTCTCCGTAAACTCGGCATTGAAAAGAAAGCTCTAATTCCCTTGGGGCAGGTTGGAGAAACGGAAACAATCTTAGGAGACTGAGATGCAGGCTGTATCAGGAAGCAATAGCTTCACGTTTTGATTTTTGTTGGATAAAGCTTTCGACGACTTGTAGCAGTACGTCTGGAGCCCCCTCTTGCTTCCTCACCTACCAGTGGATCGCCAGGCAGCCTGGTGGCACAGTGGTGAAGGTGCTAACCTAAAGACTGGTTCAACCCATCAGCCACTCACAGGGAGACAGATTCTGCTTTCTGTAAAACGTATGGAGCTGTGGCTCCACGCTGTCCTATAGGGTCCCTTGTGAGTCTGAATCAATTTGACAGCAATGGATTTGAATTTGAGAAACAGGGCTGATAATGTATACTTCCCTGGCAGGGGTATTGGAGGTGGAATTCCATGTACTGTATGCTGTAGACGCTAGAGAAAAACAGCAGTTTCCTTTTATGAATTGGTCCTGTGAGACACTTGGTGGGACACCGGCCTAGTTATGTTTCTGGACTCTTTGGTCTCTGGAACCTTGTGTGGCAGCGTGGGCTAGAGAAAGGGTTATGGGGCGTGGGGAGGGGCATCCAAGGGAGTAGGATCAAGAGGGTGGGGCCTGCTCTGATGCCATAATTGGTCGGTCGACGTGTTTACCTTTCAGCCACTCAACAGGCTGGTACTGAGTGCCAACTGTGAGCCAACCTTGGTGCCAAGGGCTTTCCTAGACATAGCAGAAGGAGGGGAACACAAACCGGTGCAGGTCTGTTAGCCAAAGCATGCCATTTCCCTACCACGTGGACAGTGCAGGAGCTTCTCTTCCTGAGGACCGTCACCGGGACGTGAGATAAGTCATGCTGCTTGATTTGAGGTCATTCTAATGGTCCTTGTAGGACTACCTTCCTCCACTCAGGGCCCCAGACACTCAGGTCTTTGGTGGTCCCACTTTGAAGCCTATCAAATGTATTAAAAGGCAATTATGCCTCATGGGAAATGTGAATAGCAGTAACTATTTTGTAGTAGGAAGTAAAAAGTTTACTGTACTTTTGCTACAGTTGATTCATTTACATTGTACATTAATTTATGTTATACAGTAGTCTGCGCTGTACATTAATTTATGGTGTACATTAGTTTACATTATATTTGGAGGCCGATTTAATAAAATGTTGACCCCTGTCCCTTCCTCCATACATTATTTTTCCGTTCTCAAGGCTTGTGTCGGCTTTGGCAAGTTGGTGGGTGGGTGGGTGGTTGAGTAGGGGGCTCCAGGAGAGCTGTGGAGGGCCGCAGTGGGAGTGGAGAGGTAATGGCAACAGGGACCATGGGAGGGGCGTTGGTGGGCTCCCTAGTGATGTGAGGGTGTGGTGGGGCTGTCCAGGGAGGGAGACTGAATTGTCACTGAGTGTGAGGCCAGATGTGTCCTAGTGACTGAGAAGGTTAGCTATCTGGTGTGACAATGAAGGTGGTTGTATGACTGTGATGCCCGCTTGGGGAGGGATGTGCC